GCTCAGCAGGGGCCAGAGCGGCCGTGACTTCCCCGGCCTGGGCGATTCCCTGCCAAGATACCTCCTTCCACCAGCGTTCCCACCGGACACTGTGGCGTCTCCCAAGGCCAGCACGGAGCCCCGCCGGCCCCGATGCGCTTGCCACCTGCTATCCCAGCGCTTCACCCGCTCCGATCCAGGGATGGCTCCAGTTCTCAGTACCTTCCCTGCGGGGGAGAGGCTGAGAAGGGGGTAGGAGCAGAGCCCTTCACCTTGGCAGGGAGAAGGGGGAGAGAGCCCACATCTGTGCCGTCAGCTGCTTACCCAGGGATTTGCTCTCTGCTGAGGCAGACGGCTGGAGAGAGGTCGCGTACCGTGCACGCGGCGAGGCAGAAACGGGTGTCAGCAGAATCCCACCAGCAAGAGCCTACCCTGAGGGCTCCCACCATGTCAAGAGACCCCAGCAGGTTGTCCGGTACAAAACCAACAGAGCTCAAGGGCTTTGGGACAGCACTAGGATCTGCTAGGGAAGCTGCAAACCACGATGCCCTACTTGACATTGGAGAGACAAGCAGCGTGGACTTGGAGGTAGCCGTGCTGCAAATCCTGTACACCACCCTGCGGCCCAAGCAGCTCGGTTAGCAGGCAATTTCTGATGCTGAAAAATGACCCAAGTCATCTTGCAGCCAACTCCAGGAAAAATCAAGCGGCTGCTCTCAGGATCCTTCCCTGCAGCGCTCTCCAGCTAACGGGCTATGTTTAATGCCTGAGCGTACAGGCACCTCGAGAGAGCTGCGTACCCGGAGAGCCAAGTGTTTATACCTTATCTCAAACAGTAACTTTGCAGCTTCAAATGCAGCCACTTCTGGGGCGGGACACAGCAGCCTCCTAATCTGCATTACACAACCGTTTCAGGCAAAAAGCAGCCCGTGAGCCAGCACGGGCAGCGGGCCCGAACCGGCGTCTCCGAGCTCGAGCAGAGCCCAGGGCGACCTCGACTCCCCGGAAGAACGATCGCTGGCACAGCCCAGGGCTCAGAGCATCCAGACCTGGGCTTCAGCGGGGCCTCACCCCAACAGCCCTACCTAATCAGTCCCCAGCAGCCTCCCCCCTCTACAGAGCCCTCGCTCAAAGAAAAGTCACCTGCCAGCTCACTGGAGCCTTTCCCATCCGGGCACACGCGCTACCTTTTCACCCTCGTGGACAGCGGGAGGGAACGTGCTTCGGACAGAGGGGACGGAGGAAGGCTGGGGAAACGCGTGCAAGGGAGGGAGCCCGCCGCCGCCCCGGCAGCGGACCACGCTGCGGAC